CCTCGTAAGCCATACAAAACTACTTTTCTGTTAGAGCATAAAATCCACTAGAAATCCAAAGTTCTATGACTTTCTTGAGAGGCGCATAACGCATGCGCAGTAGCAAAATGCAAAGCCCTTCAGTTATCACAAGAGCGTACTGGTTTTCGCCATTGTAATGTATATGGTCTTATTGATTACCGTTAACAGATATAGTAAAATTCGAGTCCCAGTTTCTCTCAAACACTGCTTGTAACTGCGCTCGTAGAGTATTTCCAGTCTCGGTTTCGTTGATGACATAACCAATACCAGCTGTGCCCGTAAAGTAATTCGCTGACCAGTTAGATGTGCCAATGTAGGCTACAGAATCTGTGACCATAAACTTGTTGTGGTTGACACGTGTATATGGGATTTCCTTGCTGTAGGGTGGAACTTTGTAGAACTTCTGTAAAACAAGGTGGTCAAAATGAGAAAAGGTTTATACACTGCAAACCGCTCTAACCAATACTGTTGTTATATAGCTGGAAATTTCTTCCCAACAGCGCGCGCCCTCATTGGTTATTTCGAGGTCACATGACATCTAACAATGAAACTATTTCCCGCCAATATCTCTGAGCGGGGAACATTGCAAAAGTCTATGACGTCAGAGGGTAACAGTGCACGGTTCGCCCTGGGAAACATTGAAATTCTTGGGAAACAAAATTAACTGTTTCTATCGAGACCAGTCATTAAGGGTGTATTAAAACTAAAAATAACATTTGTACATTTGGCGCTTATACAAGGGCAGCATTATTTTCTTCCAGACTGGGCTTCTAGAAGTCACAGAAGGCAGTCAAGATAGTGGCATTGCTGTATGCCGTGAGACACAGGAAACTCACACGTAAAGTACATTTGGTAAGTCTAAATTTAAATTCACACGAGGAGAGGAATGGGAAGATTTATCCAAACAATTATGGGTTGCAGGCATAAATTCAGGAAATTTTTAGCCAAGAACATTTCAGCAAGACAAATAGACCTTATTCACGATGCCCGCCATCTTTGCACGCGCTTAAGGACTGATTTGATAAAAGCGATCGGGGGCAAACAAGTGATAAAGTTTTCCAATACAAGAAATCGTGGTCGAGTTTGCTTATTCTTGACAACAGGAAATGAAAAACGTTTTATTTTGGGCCATTGAGTTCACAGAAATGGCGCTATATAAATTCTTGTATTATTATTATTATTATTATTATTGTTATTATTAAAGACGATCATGGCAAATTATAGGTGGAAGTGATCATTTTTGCTTTTTTGATGTGCAGCAGCGACCGCAGATGTCCTCGGCACAGCAAGCAATAATGGCCTTAATTTTGTCGACACTCAAACCATACTGCTCAAGCATGTTAAGGCATGGCCTTAGGTTAAATGGCATAAAATCTTATATTGATCATAACTTTGTGAAAATTTATCAGAACCTCCCAAAATTTGGCAACCTCGGAAAAATCGGTAACCTTACTTTTCCTGTAACGTAAGAAACCAGATATCTCTGTCACGTGACCACTTATGGTCGATTCCAGGGAGGAAAAGAAAACTAAAAATGTGGTGGCGAAATGCCACACAGTATGTATTAGATACAGTATTTTTGTTATTGTATCATTATTTTTCCCTTGAATTTGGCCCGAATGGTTGACTCACGTCTTTATTTAATTAGTAATTAAGCAAAATAGGTCACGTGACACTTTTTGCCGGTTAATATCTTTTTAAGAAATTAAAAATTCTGTCCGTTCCGTCCACGGAAAAAATTCATACGGTAAAACAAACATTTACACATGGTTCAAACTTAGTTGAAATCAACCATTCCTACCCCCATTTGAATTTCTTTTTGAATATCATTATAACGTCACGTTTCACCGGCGTGACTACATCACTTCAACCCTAATTTAATTCAACGCCTCAAAAAGATTTTGCAACTTTTAGAATTATAATGCATGACCGTGGAAGAAAAACAGCTTTATCTTCGCGGGAGGTCGAAACCAAAAATTGAGCCATGCCTTAACATACTTGAGTAATCTTCGTTTCGTTTTGAGAAAATAAACGAAGTCGACCGCGATTTCTCGCATTGGCAAATTTTATCCTTTGTTTGCCCCCTGAAATACCACGTTACGTTAGTTTTATCCCATCAATCCTAAAGTGCGTGCAAAGATGACCTGCAAAGATGATGATTTTGTCCCCTGAAAAGCTGTCACGTCCGTTGCCCCTAAAAAGACCTCCACTTTTACATTCTCTTTTCCAGGATCGGCACGAACAATCCTTGCGGTCCCTAAAATTAAAAGAATAACGACAAGCGTCTTTATTTACACATGTAGGGCTCCGGAGAGCTACAGAAGCGGACTTTAAACTGGCCAAATTCTACCTTTTATCTAGCAGACGTAGTCCAGAAAGTGATCAGCAATCACAGCAGCATCTTTGTTAGTGCTCCTGACTTCCAACCACATAATCCATCTAGAATACCTACATAAAAGGTTAACGGGAGGCATTGGTGGGTATGAACGAAACAAGGCAAATACGGACTCGGGATAACGTTTATATGCTTGCAACGTTAATTTATGCAATTCAGTCTGCGTCAGTAATTCAGTCTTTGTTGCAATAATGTATGACTTTTGTGAGCAGACCGGACAAATGGCACGCAATGTAACATTATTAACTTCTGTCGAAATCAACAAAGTAAACTGAGCAATGTCTGTGCATTAATTATGATCATGAGTGTACTGAATCTATGAGGTTCCTACCCATCAATGCAACCCATTGCAAAGCCGTATTTAATTTATCATAGTATCTCTATCGACAGGAAAAAATGGTTTAAGTACCAAAATATATGAATCGAAACGCAAAGATTAGATTGAAACTAAAAGACCCGCAAAAAGCATCGTACATTCATCATAAAAGCATCATTAGCTTGATAGGAGCTATTTACCCTCACCTGCCAACAAGGTGATGATCATTTCTAAGCCTTTGATGCATCAGCCGGTAACCAATGCAGTTCGCAGACCCTGTTAACTCACTCTAATTATAATGACAGAAGGAACAAATTACTGCGAACGTTCTTTGTTTTAGTCCTGTTACCATACGGAAAATTTGTGGCAAACATAATATTACTTTGACTGTGTTGTAATATCTATAGAATGCTTAGATTACAAATTAAAGCAGTTTTAAAGAACCGTGCCATTAATTATAGCTTAAATCAGAGCTCGTAAACATTCAATACGCCATACCCAAGGCTACTCCGGCGCGTGTAAATGTAGGCTAATGCGGGTGACTTACCGATATGACTGTAATAACTTCTCTTGCATGCGGAGCTTTTATGTTTCCTTCTAAAAAAGCTCATGTTGTTAAGCCTTCGCCTTATGTGACGCATACTAATTAAAAAGAGGAGAACATCATATTGTGCAGTTTGATATTACTGAAGGATCACTGTGTATGTACTCAGTAACAACTGTCACTGGTGTAATTAATAGGGGAGTTTTGCATATGGTTACCCGAAATAAATCCCATGAGCAAACGCTAGGAATAACTGAATAACTGAAGCGTAAATCGAAGTAGTTTTTGAGGAGTTCTTCAACTTTCAAGATAAAGCTATATCAAGGTAAATTTAACTTGTATCACTAATGACAACTTTCATAATAATAATGATAATAATATAACCATCTTCATCGTTATTGTGATCGTGACAATCTTTTTGGCATTACTGACTTCTTCAAAGTCCTTGCTTCTTATAAAGTCATTTTACAAAAGCTAAGAAAATGCGAGCTTGCACACAGACCAATGCAGTAGATACTTGACAAGAAACTCAAGTCACTGATATGAAACGTGGCTCGTAAATAATAAAAAAATGATATTAAAAGATAATAATAAGAAGAAGAAGAAGAATACATTAATAATAAAAAAAATAATGGTCATCATCATCGTCACGAATATTACTGAGCTCATCTCTTGAAGCAAAATATAGTTTTGATAACAACATCTTAGTTCCACAGTTCCGGGCAAGAGGGGAAGGGGCAAACCGGCTGAAAAACAAAATCAGATTTATGCTAAATTAGAGCAGTTTAAAGGATACAACATTGGCTATGATCCTGTCTAGGTGCTTTTTAGCTCGGAAAGACACTTCCAGATAAAGATACAAAGTCTATTAGCAGAAGCAGGATCAATAGCAGGTTCGGTGACACAACTGAAAAATGTCATGATTCATTAGCTCTTTCAAAGCAAAATATAGAAATTAAATCAGGTAATTACTAATTCGTCTTGACTATCACATGTACTGCAATACGCATTTTTATCGGCAAAACTCTCAAATAAAGCCAAGAGATCCTCTCTTAATGAAATAGCTTACCCCTCAAGCTGAAGAGGATAACCTGACCGTTCCGAAAGTATTAAACCAAGTGTCTACACGTAAAAGTCCAAGTTGTAAATTTTGAAATTACACCTGCGTTGAACCTTGAGTGAAAATCTGAGTTGCAAATTTGAAATTAACAGACCTTCAAATTTTGCTGCGAAAATCCACGCTTTTCTTTCTACAATAACTCTCACTTGGATTTTTGCGGTAAGAATTAGAGTCAGTTGCACATTTTGAAACGCACACAACTAGAATTTTTGCCGGAAAAATTCGAGTTGCAAATTTTGAAGCGCATACAACTCGGATTTTTGCGGTAAAAATTCGAGTTGCAAATTTTGAAATGGTCACAACTCGGATTTTTGCGGTAAAAATTCGAGTTGCAACTTCTGAAACGCCCACAACTCGGATATTTGCTGTAAAAATTCGAGTTGCAAATTTTGAAATGCAAACAACTTGGATTTTTGCGGTAAAAATTCGAGTTGCAAGTTTTGAAATGCACACAACTCGGACTTTTGCGGTAAAAATTCGAGTTGCTGATTTTGAAATAAGAATCGTTAACCGGCTTACCAACAGCAGGGGCTCCAGAGGATGGAATCAGTGGTGAGACTCCAGCATTGCGCAAACTGGTGTTACAACACTCTGCATTACAGGACAGAGTTGTTCCGTTGGAAGTTTGGTTTATGATATCACAAATTACGGAAGGAAAAGAACAAGCCATAGACGGAAAACAATCTCTGGTGAAACTGGTTTGATTTGTTGTTGTAATTGTTTCCAATGTAAGACACAATTGGTCCATGAGACATTCTCTTGTCGTCTGAAGCGCGGTACACGCTGCTTCAGTTTGTACTGCACACATGGAACAGTTAAGAACCCCCATGGGTGCTGAAAGAGGACAAAAAGACGTGATTTCAATGACAAATGTATCTACAGAAGAAAGCCTTGACTATTGAAAACCATTCTTCAAATGAATTACCAGACCGTCATAAACCTCCCTGGTCAATGTGTACGTATGTCTATGACAATCTATTATTGTGTCTCTTGTTCTATATCTACCACATGTTGGAGGCTGCTTACCCGCCTGCAATAACATACAGCAGCGGATTAGGATTATCCGCTCCATTCCTGTGAGGGTTTGTACAATGTTACAAATTCCTCTTCCCCCTTCTGCCCCAAAGGTCTGAAATCTTTTTCAGGTGCCTTGATTCATGATGAGGTTACCTTGTAGCCTAAGCGTTTTTACTGTATTATGAAAATTGTCGCCTTTTTGAGTTCGTTGACTGAAGAACTTCAATCAGTTATTCGTTGATTAAGCCAACAACGTAGTAGTATCTCAGACCTATTTTAAAGTGAGTGATTTTTTTACCACTGTTAGCCACATTGTTTTTGACCGACAAAAACCTAGTTGACGTAACTAACGTTAGTGGGAAAGGAGGGTTGCGTGACGACACTAAAAACGGCTGTGTAGCAGACTAGGTTTCTTGGAGATCTCGAATGTTTCAAACGCTCTGATTGGATTACAATCACAATAGGCGCGTGATCGGACGCTTGTGGTTTGAAACAATCCAAGCACACATCACATAGGTTGTGTTTTTGCCTTTTGGAAGAGAATTGGAACCATCAGGTACCTGTATGAACGAAAGATTTAGACCAGGCTATAGCCGAAGTCATTGGGACACTCGATGGTGTGGAGGAAAAAATTGTGGGACTAAGAGAAGACATTGTAATTATATTCAAAGGATCGACCGGCTATGGAAAATCACTGCTGTTCCAGTTACTACCTCGCATATGCAGTGTGTAAAGGGGGTCGGTAGGCAACACACGACTTATACCTCGTGCCAAAATGCTGCTTGTTCCAGTAAATTTTTTCTCCAGCGGGTAGATTACAACTGAGCAATTGTGCATTATTTTTGCCGCTTGTTTCATACTGAGAGGTCGTGACACGCATATTGTGTATTTCTGGTCGGCATGATTTTCCCTCTGATGCGAGTCGAGAGCATTTTCTTTAACCTCTTCTGAAACGTAAACTTCCTCGTTACCGCAAAAAAAAAACTTTTGTCGTTCCTTGATCTAAATGACTAAAAGCGATTCTCTTTTGTCCGTAAATGTGAAAGTTTCCTACAAAAAAGTGCAATGTTCTGTCCCGCTGGGCCCAGCTCGTTAGAAGTAGTTTTTGCGGGGTGTCTATTTCTCCTTAGTGATTTACAGATCCAAATTTGGAAGAACGGATTGCAGCTTAAACTGAAGCTACATAAGTTAAAACTCAAGCTTGTTGTTCTGGAGGTAATGCCGACTTGATTGACAGATTACGAGACAAGGTCAAGGTCCAGCACAGTAAATCAAGGCGCTATGCGCCAGAGGTTTTTTCTCGCGGCTTCGCCGCTCGTCGAAGACGAGTCGGCCTGCGGCCGACGAAGCACCTCGTCGCACGCGAGAAAAAACCTCTGGTACCCAGGGTATTCATTTCCCAGATTCTGGACTTTATCTATTGAACGGCTTTGATTTTTATTTTAATCTATTTTGAATGGCGTGACACTGAAAACCAACAATAGACGTTTGTATGGATCTTTAACCATGTTTCAAGGGTCATAACTTGATTCCTGTTCAATTTCAGTTACAGCACCAAACTTGGTCAAATTACCAGTCTCAACATGACCTTTTATATGGTGGTACCAGTTCCCTACACAACTCCGAAATGGCTAATTACGAACTGAAACGTAACGATCATGGACAGCTTAGAGATAAGAGCTTGATACCAAAGGTACATGTATTTTTTTACATGCCAATTTTTTTAGAATCTTAATAGATGCAATTTGCATACAGTTTATACTTTAAATCAATATTGTTCCAGATATATAGATACACTTTAATAACGGTATGCTACCCCGCGACGCTACGTCTTTGCTTATAAAATATGTAGAAAATATTTCTCCTGTGAACTAGTTACAAAGACAGTCAGTGCAGTTCGTATTCAGTTGGGTCTTTGGAATACCGCAGTAATATGAAAGGGAATAAAAGAGTATTAGTGAAAGATGGCGGTTAAAGCAGGTGATAAACACATGCATACACGCATACTACTCAGGATATGTTATCAGGATTACAATATCCAGAATTGCTAAAGATTGAAAACAACTTCCTTTGTACTATTTTAACGACACAATGAAACTGAAAATGTAATAAATGTGCTTGTCTTCACTGAATTGCTCAATCAATCGATCAGACTATTATTTTTTTCAGCCTAATCCTTGAGAAAAATTATCTTAAACTAAACAAAGCATCGATTAATATAAAGATACCGAATTGGTAATCTGCATTAATATTCGTTCTGATACTAGAGCACCTATCACGGTTCCCCTTGGTGCAACTATACATGACTGAACTCAAGTATTTCTGAGCAGTATGGAATGCACATTCCTTCAGACAAAATAGCTTTTCGGACAGTTTTTTTCTTCCTACTCTATCTATTCGCTGACTTAAGTCATGAGGAATACAATATATACCTCCTCGACGAATTTTAGACGGCCAATACAAGAGCGGAAAGATTCTTCGTTAGAAATAGAGTACAAATAAACCTATACTTAAAAAAAGTTTACATTCTGTTAAAGAAACCTTTAAAAGATGTTTCTATTATTTAGAACTTTCTAATTTGTTGAACTTTTGCAAAGTTTGTTTCGCATGACGTATCGACAATGTTTTCTCATTGTTTGCATCTCGCAACATCACCAGAAATGAAAACACTTCAAAACAACGATAGTAAAACAATATTCAACACAACTATTTTGAAAATGAAAATTTTCATTTTGCTTCTTCGTTATTCTGCAATATATGATTTGCAAGAAAAGAATGACAGTTTCCGCGTCAATTTGATCTGTTAAGTAATGATCCGGGTAAGGTGGATAGCAATTTCTTTCGTTATGCGGCAGCGTTGCTTTCCCCACATAGGAATGTTCTCATTTTTACACAGAGAATGCATAAACCTACATGAAAGCCGTTTACGCAATAAAATGCATTTACACTCCACTTTGAAAGGGTGTTTTTTGTGTGTGTTAAAAGATTTCGACCAATCACAAGAGTTGAAAACAATAGCCAAGAAAAGTTTACAATTTTACATGTTCCCCTCATAGAATTTCTTTGTTATTCAAACTGAGACTAGATTTTGTTATATGGAAGATGGTTGGAAAGTAAGGATGAATGTATGTACTGCTTTATGAAGTTTTGTTAACTTTTGCTATTTAAGCCAATCAGAAGTAAGTACAGACAATAGAAAAGTCAGCACCTTTTTTGCATTCCAACATGTTCGTTGCCGTTGTTGCTATCGTTCTTATCTGGACCGTTTCTTAATGCATATGCATGTGAAAACTTCATTCGCTTTAGGGGGACAAAAATGTTCAATAGGTGATATACTCACGCGACTGGCTTAAAGCACCTCCAATCACAAACATTGCCGCAAAAAACAAAGTCACTGATCTCTTGCTGGAAGTCATCTTCAGCTCTGAACTTTTTTCGGTGCAACCTCAGTTAAGCGGAACGACTTGATATAAGTTGAATGCGGTCAACTGAACAAACCGAGATATTAATAGACGCCAAGCTTATTAATATATATTAATATATTAATAGACGCCAAGCATTGCCTTGGGAGATATTAATAGACGCCAAGCATTGCCTTGGGGTTATATGAGGATGGTAAAGTGAATTGCTTGTTTTATTTCCCGTGAATTGTCAGTGTAATCACTTTGGTTTCTATTCCTCATGAAAAGTGATTTTGGTAATAGCCGTGAGCTGTGGTTTTTGATAAGAATTATCTGTGAAACGAGAATCGGGTGTTTAATTCAACGTGAACTGTGATTTTCTTTTGTTATTTTTAATTTTTCGAGAGAAAAAAATTAAAAATTCAACTGTTCCGATTAAAGCAGATCAGCTCTCTGAATCAATGACGACTCCTCTGATGACAACATTTCCAAATTCCAATTCGATCAGGAATCAGCTAGACGTAGAACCACTAGGTGGATGTGCTACCTGCAAATCTTTATTACTATTTATTTATTCATTATTAGAAGAAGATGGTGTCAAGCCTCAACTTCCAAACAAACAATTCAGAAGCTGGAGAATGGTAAGGACATCGAACAAGGTAGTTCTTCGGCTGTAGTTCTTAACCAAAGTAAGAAAAACGGATCGCATGGCCGAATTTATTGCCCGTGAAATGTGAAACGGTCATTTTATATTCTATACCTGATCAATAATCCCCCTCCCCCTTTATTACCCTCTTATATCATGATCACCAGAACTTGGTTGATCAACGCTGGATCAATGTTGCTTTTAAGAAACGAAGCGGATATCCAAGAAATCTCCGGAAGAAACCCCAAAGCATTAAAGACCGTATTATTCCAACCACTAGACTTTTTAAACAAGGAAATGTTTCTTGGGGGTAATTAGTTCAAGTAGCATTACGATGCAAAACCTCAAAGTATAAAACATCAAAGTATAACTGTTCAAGCATAACTGAACAATGCTAGCCTTTATACGCAGGCAATAGAACAGAGAAAAAAGGGAAAAATGCCACCAAATACCACGGAACATCATTTGTATTTGAATGGGTAATCTAAGAATTCCTTACACTTACATGCGCATGAGAAGTGATTATTGATTGCGCAATCTGTCATCATGGCAACTGAGGCTCGTTCAAAATAAATAAAGTGACCTCCCGTTGTGCGATGATCTTCTTTATTGTCACTTAAGACTAAATAAAGGCTTTATTAGGTTTCTAATTAAACACATGACTTACTAAAAGTGCTCAACACTTCAATGTAGTAAATGCGTCGCAAACCTGATCTTTTTCACAGGAGGGAATCCTCAGATGTTTATTTCCAATTTTCCGATGATTGGGGGACGTTCTTGTGAAAGGGATTGGGTACCCCGGGAACAAACTCAGGCGGTGTATTCACTGGGCATCTTCGCAATAGACCTTAGACAAGTAACGGTTCTTAAAACTATTTCCTTGACTATAGCCGGATAGGGCTTCCACCTGGATCCTTCACGGCATCCGCGCGAGTGATCTTGATGCTTGATTCGCCTCTGGCAGTTTCGATTATTAGAGGCTATACGTAGAAAAAGAACCGAGTTGCGATGTGAAGGCTTATAAACAGCTCCTCCTAGTTGTCTTTGGACGACAGGCGTGTAATAAAAGCAAAGGTCAATAATAATAAACTGATGCACGCTAAACTATAGCCTGTCTAGTGGGCGCAAGAGGGTAGCGCGAGGGAGACGTATACGCAAGGGGAGATGTAGCGCCTGTCCGCCCTCTTTCTTCGTGTCGTCCTTGGCACAACTTTTGTATCTTACGCCATTTTCTTGCGCCTGTATCATTCAGTTCATGATCATCGCCTTCTTCGATAGCCCGCGCCACGAACGAAACTAAATTCTGGTTAAGCCCGTCTGCGGAACAGTGCCGAAATCTTTGTTCTGGGCCCAGCTGTGTACCAGGATTTGAGTACGCGCCGTGATTGGCCTGTTAAAAAATCCATTGTTGATTTGCCAATCAGAGTGAAAAGAAATTCGAAGCGCATTTCCGGTAAATCGTTGACTCCGTTGGGGGCCCAGAACACGGTTATCGGTACTGTTTCGCAGGGCGTTACTAACCGAGGTTAAATAACAGTCTGCGACGCAGCTGAATACCATCTCTAGCTGCATACCTCTCATCCTGACCGATGAAAGACGTCGGCCAAGCAGAATAACATGTGAGTATTTGACCTAAACCTTACTGAGTTTAATGGAACGTAATTAATTACATTCCCTACACTTATTGCTTCCTACAAAAAACACTTCTACGTATACTGTAACTTTGTTTTTCCAGCTGCAAATGGTAACTTTTTTGCCTCTATCTTCGATGGTTCTATTTTCAGTGATTGTACAACCTGAAAGAAGAAAATGTAAAATCAATTAGCAAATCAACTTACAACGCATTGTTCACGCCCGATAGGGGCTCATTTTGTTGCGACTGTGGTCATGTAGGATAATGATCGTTATACAAAATAATGACCGAGCGCGCAGCGCGAGGTTATTATTTTTAAGAAAGCCGAGGAGCGAGTAAATTATCCTTTATCTAATTTAATGCACCTTTCCATTTTTTTCAGCACCAGCAGGTCATTATTGTGGCCGCTGAAGTGGAACAGTAGGCTACTATTCTTAATAATGACCTCCTGGCCCCGGTTGATCAAAAGTTGGATAGCGCTATCCACCTGATAGATCGCTATCCGATGGATAAGTAGTACGAAAACTAATTGTGTTTTTCACTGTATAGTGATTTATTCAGTGGATAACGATATTCACCTTTTGAACAACTGAGGCCTATTCTCACTGGGGCCATCTCGTACAAACGCCCCAAATCTCTTCGCGAGTCAAGGATAAAATTTCCACGCGCTCGTAGTCTCCTGGGTGTTCTGTTTCACACAGGTTTTGTATAAATAGGCCTGTTTTGGCCTGTTTAATTATCTTTTCGTTAAACGTTCGCCAGTCGTTAGCTTGGCGTCCCTCCCTCCTCCCCGCAGCGATGACCATTGTTGCCATCCTAGCTAGCTCCCCTCCTTTTCGCCTCCGGGCTCGCTTCTTCCCATATCTTATCCTTGCCTGGGGCGTTTAGGAGTGAGGGCTCCCAGTGGGAATTTATTACTGTTCTACGTTCCTGCTCTTTCATTTATTGAAAATTATAATAACCTGTTTTATACTACTACATGAGAAATTTCTGCAATTTGATTGTTTTAGAACAGTGGTATTTCAGCTTAATTTGAAATACCTACATGTGAAAATTACAAACCTTTTGTAGGTAGTAGTATAAACAAATAATAGCATGATTTGTATGTGATATTTGGCATAAATACCACCTGTGATATTTCAAAATTGTTTCAAATTTCACTCGCCTAACGGCTCGTGAAATTATGCATAATAATTTTGAAATATCACTCGTGGTATTTATGCCAAATATCACTACAAATCATGCTATTACCTATACCAAAACACTGGAAATTAGTGCATTAATTGAGGATACTATTCATTGTTACCTGATGATACCAAGTTCAATCTTTTTTCTTTCTGCGTTTGAAAAGAATGTGCTTGAAGTTTACAAATATCTAAAAATGAAGTTTTGAATGATTTAAAACTAAACTTTAGCCTTGAAATGACGTTTTAGTTGGTACTCATAAACTTTTATTGAAGTTCAACGGTCAGTAATACCGTACCAAACGTAAAGTGTTAAAGATATTTCATGAACACAAGAAAAATGATGTTATATGTTTTCTTTCCCTGACTGTTCGTCAACTATTACCCTGGTTCCAGAGACGCGACTTGTTGTAGCCGCTTCGCGGCTTGCTCGTGATCTCTTTCGCGAAGAAAAATAAAGAAAAACCTCTGGAACCAGGGTAGTCAACTATTGGAGATTTCGGAAAATAATCTCGTGACAGATCACTTGACTTAAGACTATAGGTTAAGGTATTTTAATATATTAATGTTTTTTGCGTAGTGAATTTTGTTTCATTTCAATGCTCTTTGTAAACCCAACAATCCAGGCATTAAAATATTTGAACCGTGCAAGAAACAGAGATTTATATCCATTTTCGATTTAAACCCTTTAATCAAGGCCTTTCTTCATCCCACGCACTTGCCATACCGCGAATGTGTTTGTAAAGTTTACATTGTCCTGAGTTTTGGTCTTAAAATTCCTTGACTTTGAAGGATGGTAACTTAAAAAATTACTATCATCCCGCAAAACTTCGTGATTCTTCAAGTATGTGAGATTTATTCTTGCAAAATGTCATGTTTCTATAGCAACCACTCTTTCACCAGTAAGTCTGATACTGCACTTTAGACCCTCAGAGCCTAAAATTGTCAACTTTGCAGATCCCTGGTGATCGAATTTCTGTTACTTATGTTACCTTTTCATTACACAACAAGCTGCTATCATCAACATTACAAATCCAAGGCACATTAGGCCAATAGCCACTCCTAGCAGAGTTATGATCGTGTCTCTGTCCTTCTCTGAAATAAGAAATACAAAACAGAAAAAATCATTACATATAGCTTGCATTATGGACAATCTTATCAACTATACTCCATTTTACAAAAACGTCCAAACAGCCCTTCACACCCTCCCTCATTAGATTGACTTTTTTCCTTCTTGCCTCCATGCCCTCTCCCCTAAAATCTGCGCACTCAAATCATCATACCCCGAAGCATGTTCATTCACATGGGCAAACAATATCCTTCGTCAATGGATTACTAGGGGAATTTTTTAGTGTGGTCTATTTTACCCAGTCAATGTAGAAAACCTCGGGGGAAAAATCCCACATTTGGGCTATATGGGTATGTGCCGCCGCCCTGACTCTTGAACAGGGTATGAGAGTGACCCTTTACCCCTGAAAGAGGGGTATATTTTACATCACTTTGACTTTGGAACCAGGTCAATTTTCCCTCACCCCTCCATAATCCCTGAATTCTGAATTTCTGAATTCAAACTTAGGTGCGAAATCGCGGAGCCCCCTCGTATTCACAGGGCCAGCCAAAGAAACAGGATCCCTGTTTGTATGATTGTTATCTGGTAAAATGGAGGCGTGTGTGGCGAGCGGTTAACACCTCGAACTTCAGATCTGGAGGTCGGGGGTCCAAGCCTCGCTCGTCGCGTTGTTTCCTTTATACAAGGAAATTGACTCTACTTTGTCTCTCTTCACCCAGGTGTATAAATGGGTGCCGGCGACATACTACTGGGGGATAACCCCATGATGGACCATCATCCCGTCAAGCGGGGAGTAGCAATACTCTTAGGATATGAACCGGGATAAGCTCAGCCGTTTGGGGTTTTAGATTTTATCTGGAAAAGAGTCGCAAATTAATCCCTGTTTGGCTGGAAAACTTAGCGGCAAACCCTTAGAGTAAATGTAAGGGAGTAACCCACCCACTCATCCCTGGATAAAAATGTCAATGTAATAAAGGATTGAACAACAAACAACGCACTTGTATCATCAGACGTTTGTTGAACATTAGTCCCGTCGCCTGAGCTCACAGAAGATGACACATCTGGTGATATTTGTTGAGTTGATGATGGTGCTATAAGCTGTGATGAAGATTGGCCCTACTGCATTTGACACTGATGGCGACGCAGACTGTGACACCGAGAGTAACATAGAGGTAGACAGTGATGTTGTCACCGACAGTGAATTTGATGGAGACATGGAAGTGGACTCTGATGGTGACATCGACTGTAAAGCAGATGCTGACATTGAGGCTGACGTAGATGGCGATACCGATGCTGACGTTGACTGCGACATTGATGTTGACATGGACTGTGACATTGATGGCGACATTAACTTTGAGGCAGACGCTGAATTAGACATTGAGGCTGAAGTGGATGGTGACACCGATGCTGACATTGACTGTGACATTGATGGCGACATCGATGTTGAGGGAGACTCAGAATTAGACATCGAAGGTGACACAGCTGAAACAAAAAAAAGTAAGTTATGTTTTTACTTTCACTCAAGCCACGGTTTGAATTGCCACAGAGCAGACAAAGAACTGCTCAGAAACGTATCCGATATTTGACGATCCACTTTCAAGATCGGTACGGCGCACTGGTTTACGTAGACCACGGCTTCCATCTCTATAAAACTTTATTACCACAGTGGTGCCATTAATCATAACTGTAACAAAATTCTCTCATCTAATAGACCTTTTTACCGATACGGCGGCCATATTGAATCAATTAGATTTAAGGAGTATTAAAGGATGCCCAGGGGGCATGAGCACATTTCGTTTTTATTTTCGAGCGCTTTTTGGGAAAATTTTTCGTAAATTTTTCTTAGAATAAGATTGTAACGAGAAAAAAGATCCTTGTGCCGTGTTTGGATGAAATAATGATCGCCTTTTTCCCGAGAAATATATAGTCAAAGACCATATTTCTAATACTAAATTAGAAAAAGGCGATCATTATTACATCCAAACACGGCACAAGGATCTTTTTTCCCATCACAATCTTATTCTAAGAAAAGTTAAAGAAAAACTGTCCCAAAAAGCGCTCGAAAATACAAACGAAATGTGCTTATGCCCCCTATCTTAAATTGTTTACTTTTAAATTTCGTCAAGCTAAAACTTTATGCAAATGACCCAAGAGTCCTCTGACCCTGATTTAAATTTACAATTGCTAAATGATCATGGGATTTACACAGTTGAAGAAATTAACGAGTTGTCTCGTACTGTCAAACCTCAATACTCTGTTATTCACTTAAATACAAGAAGTTTAAAACAACATTTCGAACAAATGTGCAATCTTCTGGATTCCATTTCATGTAAGTTTGATTTTATCGGTTGCTCCGAGACATGGTTCACCTCTGAAACTGATTATACACGTTTTCAAATCCCAGGTTACACTTTACTCAATGAAAATCGCACCTTTTCGACAGGCGGCGGTTTTGTTTTGTATGTGAGATCAGGCTATTCTTTCTCAATTAGAAATGACCTCAAAATAGACTCAATTGAAAACCTATGGATAGAAACTAATGATATGATTGTGGGTGTCATTTATAAACCCCCAAATTTTTCAAACCCAGAATTTTTAGACAAACTCGAAAGAAATCTACACAATGTTTTTCTCTTTAAGAAAAAATGCATGTTAATTGGTGATACTAATATAAATACTCTTACAAAAACAAGTGTCTCTAAGGAATATATTAATTTAATACAATCAGACGGATTAAGTCAGCTGATCTTTGAAGCAACACGTATTACTGAAAATTCACAAATCTGCATTGATCATATCTTTACAAATATTTCGACTTCCTGCTCAAGTGGCAGCCTCGCAGTTGAGATTAAGGATCATCTACCAGTCTTTACTATTTTGTATGACCCGAAATTTAGTCCTTTTCCTGATTATTTCGAATTCAGAGACTTTCGGAGTTTTGAAGATGAAAATTTCAAATTAGATCTACGAAGAGAGAGCTGGGTTTCTATTTACAAATGCAATGAAGTATTCTTATTACTAGAAAGTCTTGACACAAACAAGTCGTTTGGGATTGACAAGATTCATCCACTATTATTAAAAACTGCAGCACTTCAAATATACCGTCCTTTAACTTTTATTTTTAATCTTTCCATCAACAAAGGTATTTTTCCTGATAGTATGAAACTTGCTAAAGTTGTTCCAATTTTTAAACAAGGCTCTCGTTTTGTATGTAGTAATTATCGACCTATCTCAGTTCTCTCCTCCGTAAGTAAAATATTTTAGAGATGTATTTTTAATCAGCTGATGTTCTATTTTACGAATAACAATATGATTTCCCCAAAACAATATGGATTTAGACCAGGTTTTACAACCTCTGATTGTCTGATTGACCTTATTGAAGAAATAACCTCCTCTCTTGATAAAGGACTTTATGTGGTTTCTTTATTCTTAGATTTAAGTAAAGCATTCGATACAGTAAACCATCAAATATTACTAAATAAACTTAAGTACTACGGATTACAACAAAGTGAATACAACCGGTTTCAATCCTACTTAAATAATAGGAAACAGCAGGTGCATGCAAATGGTCTTGCTTCCGATACACGTTTTATCTCCACTGGTGTGCCTCAAGGATCGCTACTAGGACCTTTGCTGTTTATTATTTTCATTAATGACCTTCCAAAGTCTTCCACCTTTTTTTCTACCAGATTATATGCAGACGATACATCTCTAACAGTTTCTGGAAGTGATCTTGACAGTTTATTGTGTGAAATTAACAATCATTTACCAGCTGTCTACGAATGGTTATGCAGTAATAAATTGACCTTAAATTTGACAAAAACTAAGTTTCTTATCTTTATGCCTCGTCAAAAGGAAAGCTACAATCTTTATCCACCACTAACCGTAGCAAATGTTCATCTAGAGAAGTCCTTTTGTGTAAAATATCTTGGTGTGTATATTGATTGTCACCTTACTTGGCATGACCATATTGATTACCTATGTGGCAAAATTAGCAAACATATAAATATAATGGTTAAGTTGAAACATTATGTATCAAAAGCAACACTTATTAGTGTGTATTATTCTCTTATTTATCCTTACCTTACTTATGCTTGTACACTTTGGGGAAATAATTATAACGCTCCATTGTCTTAAATCGTAAAGTTACAAAACAAAGCGGTTCGTGTTATAAGTGATGTTCCTTTAATCGAATCAATAACTCCACACTACACATCCTTAGGCCTTCTGAAATTTCCTGATATTGTTAAACTGAACACATGTATGCTTTTTTATGATTATTTCCACCATGAAAAGTTTCCTAAGAATACCTGTTTCATTAGTATCTGAACTACATAATTACAGTACCCGCAGTGCATCATCCAATCAAGTTGCAATACCTATATTTCGAACTAGTCTTAGGAGATTTTGCCCCAGCATTATTGGAAGTTTCTTTTGGAACGATATTCCGCAATCCATTAGAGACAAACCATCTAAAAAATGTTTAAAAAAGCACTTTTACGCTGGTACCTGGCTCAATACTAATGAATCAATATCCCTTTTACAACCTTCTGAGCTATTTTGTCATTTTTTTCCTTTACTTTTTTATTAGTAATCTTAAGTCCTTTGTTATACATAACTTTAAGGGGCACAATATTAGTTTATCTAGATGTGCCCCTCTCCTCTCCTTTCAATATACAATGTAATTCAATTTAAGTGTTGTAATTTCTAATTTACACGTTTATTTCCTTTGTAAATCTTTATCTGATAGTATATTATTTTTCTCAGTTATATTTACATAACTATGTATCAGCTAGGAATTGGACGAATAAATAAAAAAATTTAAAAAAAGCTAGAAATGAATCTAAGATAAAAACTAAAATAATAACGATATGACAATAAAAAAAGCTGCTTTACATTAAGGCCTTGTGTAAAGATACATATATCTAAATTAAGGTTTTTTGATTTTACTTTAAAAGAATTATTGCCGCACCTTCAGAGACAAGCTGTTCTACAACACTCTTCCATTACAAGAAAGGCTTCAATCTTTTTTAAAATTCAGTGCGGGGTTGTGGAAGAGCGAGCTTGTTTGTATTCATGCATTTTCTGTTAGGTTATACGCGATTAAATCGCATGCAGCGACGAATAAAACGCGAAGCCGTCAGATATTCTAGAACCGTGTTATTTACAGTGCTGTGCATTATTATTGCTTAACTAACTAACTACGCACTGATGGAAATAAGTTTCGGCCGCTTTAAATTTTGAAACAATTCACCGGTACTGTATAGTCATAATTGCAGGAGCCGAAAGTTAGCATGCGAGCAGGGCGATTTTGCTGTAGTTTCTGCAATGTAGAAGATATTACGGCAACGAGGCTCCCGAGGTCCGTTCCCGAAATCACAACTACATGTAGAGGATGAAATGTATTCTGCGTGCAGACGTCTCCTTTTCCAGGTTAGGTTAAATAAACCGTACCAACGGTTTGTTTGACAAAGCTCCCGCGAGACGGTTTTTTGGTGATTTTATTAATTTTTCCGAGCCATTTTTTTTTCATCTCTATTTTCGCGGCTTTTGTGATACAAACTAAATTCATTTTTAGTTATGATGGCATTACACTGCTTAATCATGACGGCTTTGGAAGAAACTGAATATATTGCGCTTCTCGATTTCGCAAAATCCCTGCGGGAATTAAAAAAATATTTTCTTCCAAAAAAGCATTTCCACGCTTCTTTCTCTAGTCAATTATCTCGTTTATCTCGTTTTCTAAAGGTCCTTGAGAACTGAAAGAGACAATATTTTATTACCTATAACCTAAAAACCTGATTTATTTTGACCAGATCGAAACAAAACTGACCTACGAAATGGAAGAAGAAAAGCCTTTTATTTTTGTCGGCTTCGGCCTGCCGACGCGATCGTGTCTGGTTTGCTTTCACATGATGACATTTTCCTGACAGAAGGGTCGGGAAAAACACCTAGCGATGATCAAACGTGACAAAATCCGTCGCGCCTAAGCTAATGAAGGAAAGTCTCCTGGAAGGCTCCATACAATTCCTTATAACAAAATTATAAGGAATTGTATGGAGCTCTCCGGGATACTTACAGTGCAAGCCCTGTGTGAATTCTCATGCTGAGTCCTTTCAGTTCATTCCCAGGATTCCATCGAGTAAAAAATGTAATAAATGTGCTTGTCGTCCTTGAATTGCTTAATCAATCGAGCAGACTATTATTTTTCTCAGGTTAATCCTTGAGAAAATTTTCTTAAACTAAACAAAGCATCGATTAATATAAAGACACCGAATTGGTAATCTGCATTAATATTCGTTCTGATACTAAAGCACCCATCGCGGTTCCCCTTGATACAACTATACATGACTGTACTCAAGTATTTCTGAGCAGTATGAAAAGCACATTCACATTCCTTTAGACAAAACTGATTTTCGGACTGTTTTTTTCTTCCTACTCTATCTATCCATTTTTAACTAACCTTAATACTTTTCTCTGACTTAAGTCATGGGGAATACAATATATACCTCCTCAACGAATTTTAGACGGCTAATATTAGAGCGGAAATTGATTCTTCGTTAGTAATAGAGTACAAATAAACGTATACTTAAAAAAAGTTTACATTCTGTTAAAGAAACCTTTAAAAGATGTTTTTATTATTTAGAACTTTCTAATTTGTTGAACTTTTTGCAAAGTCTGTTTTGCATGACGTATCGACAATGTTTTCTCATTGTTTGCATCTCGCAACATCACCAGAGATGAAAACACTTCAAAACAACCTTACTAAAACCATATTCAACACAACTATTTTCAAAATGAAAGTTTTCATTTTGCTTCTTCGTTATTCTGCAACATATGATTTACAAGAAAAGAATGACAGTTTCAGTAAAAATTTCATTCGCTTTAGGTGGACAAAAATGTTCAATAGATGATATACTCACGCAATTGGCTTAAAGCACCTCCAATCCGAAACATTGCCGCAAAAAACAAAGTCACTGATCTCTTGCTGGAAGTCATCTTCAGCTCTGAACTTTTTTCGGTGCAACCTCAGTTAAGCGGAACGACTTGATATAAGTTGAATGCGGTCAACTGAACAAACCGAGATATTCATAGGCGCCAAGCTTATTTGCATTGCCTTGGGGTTATATGAGGGTGGTAAAGCGTATTTTCGTGAACCGTGAATTGTCAGTGTAATCACTTTGGTTTCTATTCCTCATGAAAAGTGATTTTGGTAATAGCCGTGAGCTGTGATTTTTGATAAGAATTATCTGTGAAACTAGAATAGTGTGTTTAATTCAACGTGAACTGTGATTTTCTTTCATGTTATTTTTACTTTTTCGAGAGAAAAAATTAAAAATTCAGCTGTTCCGATTAAGGCAGATCAGCTCTCTGAATCAATGACGACTCCTCTGATGACAATGATTCTTTATTAGAAGAAAATGGTGTTGAGCCTCAACTTCCAAACAAACAACTCAGTTTCCTTTTCACATCACCAAGAACAAGAAGCTGGAGAATGGTGAGGACATCGAACAAGGTAGTTCTTTGGCCGTAGTTCTTAACCAAAGTAAGAAAAACTGATCGTATAAAAACCTTTTTTTTCTCGTGAAACGGGAAATACCGAATTTATTGTCCGAGAAATGTGAAACGGTCATTTTATTTTCTATACGTGATCAATAACCCCCCACACACACACACACACACACACCTTTATGACCCTCTTATATGATCACCAGAACTTTATTTAAATAAAGGCTTTATAAGGTTTCTAATAAAACACATCACTTACTAAAAGTGCTCAACACTTCAATGTAGTATGTGCATCGCAAACCTGATCTTTTTCAGATTATGCTGATCTACCATGAAGTTTTCTCTTTATTCATGATCTTATATGAGTTTTCATATGAAATGTGAACGGAATATTGATTTTCCTGATGGATTGACCCATCGAGTATTTTGAATCATTTGCAAGACCTGAACTGGGTTGGCTAACTAAGAATATTCAAACACTGTTCAGTGGAATCAATTTTTTGATTCTAGATTTTAACAACCGACTAGAAAAGCCGTTTACACATCAAAACCGCGACGTTTAGACCGCTCTGACGCAAGATCTCATCCACTTGTATCAGCTTTTCCGTTTGAAGTCACAAGGGTTTGTTTCCATCGATTGACATTTATTCATTCACTCGTAACTTCGGCGCCCATCATTTTATCTGCACATGCGTATTGGGACGTAAAAACGTTTATCGTTTTCAATTAACAAATAAAGAAGCCTTGTCTGTTCTTTGCTCTGTTCAGAAAGCACGCAGAAAGCGGCTATAGAGCATTAAAGGAGTAGTGTTTCTCCCCACTTCTCGAGTGCTTTAACCGCTTCCTAAAATCTTTACAACGGAACAGAGCACAGTTAAGGGGCGAGCCTCGCGAGACTCGCTTCGCTTCGCCGCTCGCTCGCGCTTTCTCGTGAGACTCGATTCAGCTCGATTCGTTCGACCAAATAGGAGAGCTTGCTTGCAGGCTATGTTAAATTCTCCACGCATTACTTTCTAATCATTCAAAAACTATTGGCAGATGGCGTGACAGCTTTATACTCTCATAAAGCACGCTTTTTCAACCAATCAGAGCTCACGTTATATCTGAACTATAATATAAACGGCTATATATAGAGGATATTACACGGTGGCGAGAAGATATGAATTTTATGTTCGAGTGGCAAGAACAATATCTCACGAGTGAGCGAAGCGAACGAGTGAGATATTGTTCTTGCCACGAGAACGTAAAATTCATATCTTCGAGCCAACGTGTAATGTTCTTTTTATTATATGGAGAAACCAATTCAACAAAAGCAAAAGGCGGGAATCGTGACGTCATTGAACGATACGACACTCACAAAGGTGACATTCGGAAAATATGCCACTCGGGTCCCGGATGTTGTGGCGTATGGAATCTACGAGTGGTTTAGTTCCCAGTAAAACACTCTCCTCCATATAATAAAGAGCATTCTTTCACATCCCAAGTTGATTGTGTACTCCTCTGAACGATGGCTCCTCTTTTTAGATTTCCACCTACAAAAGCACGATGATACTACGGTAGGTACGGTTGACAAGGGCCGATCAATCAAAGCAAAGCAAAGGAAAACCAAAAAACAAAACGTGTAATTG